CATCAACAACTTCTCACAGAGGCCTGGAAACCGAATCAGTAGTTGGAAGGCAGGAAGAAAGCTCGAGGGGGACTTGAGGTGCGTTGGCACTGGATTTTCAGAACTTTTAAAGAGGAAGGAAAGATATGGCTTCAAATTTATACGAAGAGATTCGTCGAAGTTTGTCTATCAATCCCCCAATCACAATACCAGTGATGACAAGATTATTACAACTTCAGTCGACAGGATGCACAGCTACCTCAATCACAAGTCAGATGCATTGGGTGAAGTAATTTATGAAGTCACATTGCTATGCGATGAGCTGAAGGGCATGTATAAACTTGTAGACGATGCAGGAATGGTTGGAAGCCGATTTACCTCCAGAGTGGCTTGGCTGAAGCAAATGAGGATTATTGTTCAAAGTGCTGATAGATGTGTGCAAGCCTTCATAGACGACTCGGGTATTATTAGGAGATCAAACCATCTATTTAAAACAAGATCTGGGATAAAGCTTTGCCGTGAAATTGACAAAATCCAGCATACTATGAGTCTTGTTGTGAGAAGCATAAAAGCATACGGCATTGAATTGAGGGAAGAGTCAAGCTCAGTGGTCGGTTTGGAGGAAGACATCCAAGCATTGGTGTCACAACTAACAACCAACAGTGAACAACACTCTGTTATTTCCATTTTGGGCATTGAGGGCATAGGTAAGACAACATTAGCAAACAAAATTTTTGATCATGGAGCTGTTTCGCAACACTTTACTCGCCGTGTATGGATTTCTCTACCCTGGAAGTCCAATGTGCCTTGGGTCCAAGAGGTACATGATCTTGTAGATGAGGAGCGGTACCTTTTAGTCCTAGACAAGGTCTCCACAATAGATGAGTTGAATACTCTTAGAGCAGAATTCATTCCAGTAACACCAAACGGAAGCAGAATTCTGTTCACTACACGACACAGCGATTTGGCTAAATTTTTTAACAATACTCCTCACCAACTTCGACTGCGAACCAAAGAAGAGAGCTGGAAATTGTTTACCCAGATGGTGCCCTTTTCTCCAAAAGAGGAAAAGCAAGCAAAAGAAATTTTAGGTAAATGTGGGGGTTTCCCACTAGCCATCTTACGTGTTGGATATCTAATGTCTGGGAAAGATGTGACTGCTGTAGAGAGGGAAGATGTGACTGCTGTAGAGAGGTTAAAAAAGGTGCTTGAAAACGACATAGATCCATCATCGTTACAAACATACACCATAGATTCCATAAAACACTTGCTTCCTGATTCTGAACCTCTGTCTAAGTGCCTTTCTTACTTAAAGCTCTTCCCGTTGGACTTTGAAATTCCCGCAAGGAGACTAATCGCTTTGTGGATGGCAGAAGATTTGGTACAAGAGCATGGTCATAACACAAAAACTTTTGAAGATGTTGCAGAGGAGAATCTATCGCAGTTGATTGGTTTGGGCATGATTCAAATAGTTGAACGAAAGCTTAATGGGGAAGTCAAGACTTGTAGATTACCCTATTCCCTACCTGTCTGCAGCTTGGAGGCTACAAGTTCAAATCATAGAGCTGCTCTTCGTTTTAAAAGAAATCGTCTTCCAATTACTGTCGGCGAGAGCTTACCAAAAGTTGCAAGCCCTCTTCTTTCGATTTTCTCCTTTGACACTCGAGAAGGAAATAAACCTGGG